AGTTTTCAGTAATAGGTAAAAGGCCATTTTTATTTTGGTTTCAGGTAGAAATCACAAAGAATCAAATTTATGCATAGAATAGTTATCTACAAGGCCAAATGATCCATCATTTTTGAAAGCCCTTAGGATCTAACAGGACACACACACATGCTGATAATTCAATTTACCAGGGCTGCACTATAAGTGGCAAAAACAGAGTTTTCATGGTCTCATTGTCATGGTTTCAATCAAAAAGCTGAAAGACCTCAATTCAAAGTGGCCATGGCAATAGTAATCTTGAGCTAAAAATCAATTTATAACACCAATTTCAAAGTTTGGAAACTCTACTGACATAAAATGAAACAGTAATAAATAAGAGTTGTCAAAATGTATAAAATGCACCTTCCTCCCCCTTCATAGTGGGATAATTCCAAGGTGTATTTTCAGTTTAACCTAGTTTTTCTTCTTTCATCATTTCACATTCTATTTTGATGTGTAGTGCCCTCTACTTCCTGTTACTACATCTTGATACTCTACTGCAAATCATGACTCATTCTTAAATCATAGAGAAACTCCTCAAAATCCCAAATTTCACAGCGCACAGAAACTCAGTCTTTCAAGAGGGCAAGCATTCTTAGAACATTACTTGAACCACAGAGGACAAAAACATTGAACAAGTTCATGTAGAACAATGTCGATCCATTGTTGAGTCAACACATTTGTTAGATCAATATACAAGCTCTACGTGATAACTTCAGTCTTAGTACTAGTTATTAAGGTGTGTTACATGATGTGTTAAGTAAAAATAAGTTACAAAGCAGTTAAGTACTATGATTCTAATTAAAAATTTTATGTGCATGTGTGTACGTGTTTATACATATATACACATACCCATTTTAAAAGATCAGAAAAATATAAATCAAAATGTAAATAGTGGAATTATGGGAGATGTCTATTTTTTTTCATTGTGGTTTTCTCTATCTCCCTAAGGTAATTCATGCTAATATTTTTTATAACAGAAAAAACAACTAACCTATAGAAAATACTTTTATGCTAGCATGGTGTCAAGTATGTTATAAATCAATCTACACAGGCAAAGAGGAATTATGGATAACCAGGACATAAAAAACTTTTGCATGAAACATACACAAAAATCTGTTAAGAATAGAGTCCTTCATGCAAATCATCCATGCCTCTCTCATGTGTATGTTTAGGTGCAGGTCCTTGGGAACGTGTTGGAAGCCAATTGCCTGGGCTCTACAGCCAGGGCAAAACCAGAATGGACAGAGAGTCCATTCCTTTTAAGGTTTAATGAGGAAGCATGTGTCTATATAATCCCAACCACTCCAGAGGCTGAGGCAGGAGGATTGCTTGAACCTACAAGTTCAAAGCCAGCCTGAGCAACACAACGAGACATCCTCTACCCTCATCTCTACTCTAAAGTAGAAAAATAAAAATAAAGTTTAATGAGGAACCCCAGGTCTGGGAAACACGGAGATGATTGAGTCATTCTCTGGAACTGAAAGGGAACAAAACTACCAATTAGTAAGCAGTAACTCACCCTCAGTGATAAAAGACTCTGCTGCAGGAAATCACATCCTTGGATAATTTTTTATGGAGTGTTTTGGGTTGTCATTTTACAACATTTCACAGCACTACATTGGTCTTCTGAATCAGACAGATGTATAAATATAATTGAGTAGCACAGAACACATAAAATCCAGTATCTGACAGCTAAGAAGGGAATATTTGAATTTATATACACTGCCTGTAAGTCCTTTAAAACTAATTTCAGGAAAAGATTCAAGTTCCAAAAGGTTATTAAAAATACAAATTTTAATATATGATCTCAGAGTTACATTTACTGTATATTAGCAGTCTTGAATTAATTAATTTTTTATATAAGAAATAGAGGAGGTCTTCAATAAATGTTTAGGTAACTTCAGAACTGAAATGGAACTGAAAAATTGCTGCTCTTCCCCTTCTGGGCTACTGCCATTCTGGTCTGAAAAGCATTGGTACCAAGTGCATGAAGATGCTACTCCCGTGGAGATTCGGGGATGGTTTAATTCAGCTCACAAAGGGTACGCCACTACAACATCATCATTTGCATGTCATTCTATTGCATGTTACTGACCAAAAAGAGAAAAATTCACAAATATTATATTATACATGTGGCAAAAACTACAACTGACAACTTTTCAATGCCCTATTTGTTCAATGAATGCATGTGAAAGAGTTTTCATCATCTTCACCATCATTATCAAGGTAAATAAGAGTTTCTTAATCTGGGCACTATTGACATTCTGAGCTAGAATATTCTTTGTGGGGGTCTTTCCTGTGCATTGTTGAATGTTTAGCAGCATCTCCAGCCTCTACTCGCTAGATGCCAGTAGCACCCCCTCTAGTTATGACCACCAAAAATGTGTCCAGACATTGCCAAATGTCTCCTGGGAGGCACATTACTCCTGGTTGAGAACCACTGATTTAAATGAACTTCATGCATCTCAAATAATTACTTGTTGGAATGAGGAATTCTAAATACTTCCTTTTTATCTGAAGGAAATGCACTCTTGAGAGAAAATATGTACAATGTCCATTCTTAAGGAGCTACCATGCAAAATGATGTTAGATCTTGAAAGCTTTTCTTATCTATTATGTTTTGTTATCCTACTCACAGCTTTCAATGCAAATTAAATGCAACAATTTATTGAGTACCAACTCTATACAAGGCACGGCACTAGGGACTTGTACTCATGTCCACTGACTCACGCCCTGGTAGGGCTGGTTGGGTTGTTTTTAGGACACACTTCGCCACTGTAAAAGAAATGCCAACACCTTAAAAATCCTCAAGAGAGAGGCAATATATCTTTGTTAATAAAGGGGCCCCATCGGTCTAATCAGATTCCTTAAAATTCTTTACCCTTTTTAGTAACTCCACACATTTCTAGGCAACATTTAAAGGTTTTTTGCTTTTGTTTTTGTTTTTGTTTTTTTTAAAAAAAGGGGCAGAAGGCCTTTGCTATATTTGGCATAGAAAGGCCATCACTCTTCATACTCAGGGGGTTTTGCAGGCAGGATCATTACTGGAAACTCTAAGAACACTAAGGACAGTCTCCTTAACTGTCTGACCCATGTGCCCTCCTAACACAATTTGTAATTTTATAGTCCTCATAAATTGGAACTCATAACTGACCTTTTTCAGATAAATGTGTACCACAGAGAAAGAAAGAAAAAGAGAAAGATCTGAGGGCATTTTGTTTGGCACTAAGGCTCACAGATCGATTTCAACTCATTAACAGATGCCCAGAGCATGTTTGGTTTCTCTCCTTCCCCACAAAGACTTGAAGCACCGATAGGAGAAGACGGGTGCGTTTGAGCCGCTTAACGCCCCCCTACCCGCCCCCCACCCGCACACGCAAGGGGAAGAAAACCTATAAGTCAAATCCAAAATGGCCAGAGTGACTTCAAAGTTTTCAAGATGCTGCCCTGAAAAGGCTCGTCGGGCGGCTGCACCTCTAAGTAAATAAAGCCGTAACTTGTCTCCCTCCCCGGCACTGGGCTCCTCCGGCTGACAGTGGCTGCACAAAACCCCTCCTGTGCCGAGCAGCGGAAACTCCTAATGAGATTAGTTGGTGTGTGTGCAGACATTACTTAGCAATGACTAAAGGGGCTCTCTCTTCCTGCAGCAGCCAGTGGAAAATTCAGGGAACTTTTTCCCCCTGTAGCAGCAGAATCCCTTTAACCCTCTCCCCAGCCAACTCCAAAAACAACTCGGCCTCCCCTGCACCCCCCTACCCCGGGCTGGGGGACGGGGGAGAGTTAAAGACCGTCCAGGGGCTTTCAAGGGAGGGACGGCGGGGGCTGGCGGGGAAGGGGCGGGGTACCCCTCGAACACTACAAAGGAAACTGTAAAAGGCACAAATACATAAACCTGAGAAGGAGCAAACCACAGTTTCTTTGTGAGCTCCTCTAGTGAGTCATTTTCAAGATGCTGTCTGCTGCCAGTTTCAAAGCGGAAGCGCATGGCAATTAGTCTTGCCGTTTCCAGACAAGCCAGAAACTCTCCCGACACTCGTTTTTTTTTTTTTCTAAAAAGCCCCTTTTGCAGTTTCTAAAATAACATTTCTTGCTCCCACCTCCACCCGCCACCTAACAGCAGCTTGTCCCCAGGATGATTCGGTTCAGAAAACATAACAAAACCGAGATCTTTTATTTTTCTTTTTTAACCACACCCCAAAATTTTTATCTCCCCCCGCAAAAGTTACAGTAGCGTTACAGGCCAACATTCAGTTCGAAGCTAAGGAGCGGGGATCGCCACGATCGTCTCTTGCCGGGTCCTTCTCCAAAACCGTATCCAGAAAAGACTCCACCGGCTTTTAAATGTCCGACTAGGAGTGCGCTAGGGGCGGTGACCTGGGCGGGGGTCACCTGCCGGGTGCGAATGGACGCAGACCCCAGCCCTGTGCCCTCCACCTCCCCTCTCCATTTGGATCCGAGCGGTGGGTCCGAGCACCGGTGCCCTCTGCCCACCCCGAGAAGAGCCCGACCGCACTCCCAGCTGGAAGGCCGGCGGTGGTCCAGCCCCCGGGCACACCGCCTGCTCCAGACACCAGTCACCGTTTTTCCCCGGGACCCCACGTCTTGCTGTCCCCTGCTGCCGCCACTGCCTGCAGCGATGCCCTGGGCCAGCCCCCGGGGCTGCACGCCCGGCGCCCCATCCTCTGGGCTCGCAGCCCCAGGGCGGGGAACTGCCGGCGCAGGGTCCCCCAGCCCTGGCCCAGCGCGCGAGCTGCAGCGGCGGCGGTGGCCGCGGCAGAGCATCCCCGGCGGCGCCCCTTCCCCGGGCCGGTCGTCCCTCGCGGACGCACCCCCACCCCCACCCCGGCCCGGAGCCCACCCCGCGGCGCCCCCCGCCCCACCCCCACCAAGCCCAAGAAAAGAGAAAAAAACAAAAACAAAAACACCCCAAACGAAACTTTGCAAGTGTCCGAGCAACAGGCAGAAGCCCTGTTACCTACCCAGACGTGGGGGAGCTTTCGAGAGCCTTCTTCGGGGGAATTTCTAGGAGGACCCGGGCAAAAGCCCCCGACTTTCCATGCTGACAGGCGTCTGCAGACGGTCTGTTGCTCTTGTAATGAGATCCTGATTTTTCCCCCTTTTTTTTTCTTTCTCTCGCTCCTCTTTTTTTTTTTTCCCCTCTGGTGTGTGTGAGAGCAGGAAGTTGGAGCAGTCAGGCCGAGCCGGCTCACTTCCTTTACTGCATTATTCCCCAGGCGGTGTGCAGTCTGTGTAAACAGGCTTTTCCGCCCCGCGCCGCGCGCCCCGGCCGCGGCTGTGCGCCGGGGCTGGCCGCCGAGGCCCGCGCATACTCCGCCGCCCCGGGCCCCGCGCGCTCGCCCCGCACCGCGCGCCCCCGCGCCCGCGCCCCCGCCCGGCTTCCTGCTCCGCCGCCCCAGGGGAGGAGCCTCCCGCCCCGTCGCGACTCCGCGCGGCCGCAGCCCCTCCCCACGGGGAAGGGGGCCTCGGCCCGCGACCGCCAGAAGCCTTCCGCGACGCGCGGGGCGCCGACTCCGGGTGGGGCGGGGGCGAGGATCCCTCCTGCGCCCGCGGGGTCCCGGCGCTGGGGGGCGCGCTGGCCACCACGGGGCGGGGGTCGTGCCCTGCCCAGTTGGCCTGGGAAGGGGGGGCGCGAGGTGGGAAGGCCGCTGGACTCGCTGTTTTCTATCAGCTGGGACGGAAGAGTTGGGGGGCCGGGGGCGATCGGGGTTCAGGGTTTGGTTGCTCTGGGCAAAGCGCTGCTTTTATTGTGGGCGCGGGCATGGTCGTTTGGGATGAGATGTTGGATGTGCAAAAAAGGAGGCGTAGTTTCTGTGTGGGGATGGGGATGGAACAGTTCCTGTCTGGGTTTTAAATTTTATAAAAAGCCAGCCCTCGGTGGGGCCCCAGTTTAGGGGAAAGGATAAGGAGCTATAAAAACGAAGTTAGGATTCTCCAGTCAGATACCTTTCCGGCCATTCACTACGGCCTTCCCCGGGTCCAACCTTGCCTGCCCACTAAGGAGCTCTGTCGGAAATGAGCCGTGGCCGCGGCGTCGAGAGACCGAGGCGTGGAGTAAGGCTCTGTGGTCTCAGGACTGGACTCCACAGGCCACATCCCTGGGGAGGTCCCACCCCAAGGGCTCAGGCCAGCCTCTGACTGGCGAGTTTGCCCACTGCCCCAGGCTGAGAAGAGGAGGAAGGATACCAGTTGAAGAGACCCTCACCCCCAGGCCAGTGCCCCAGCCTCGACTGCTCACTTTCCGGAACCTTCCATTCCCATGCTGCCACTTCTTAGCACAGAGCAGTGGTTTTCAAACTTGACCCAAGGGGCTTGTTAAAACCCTGGTTGCTGGGCCTTAACCCGGGTCCCTAATCCAGTAGGTCTAGGGTGGTGGTTCTCAGCCCTGGCTAACGTTAAAGTCACCTAGGGAGTGTTTTGACACTGCCCAACAATACACTCAACCCAGACCAATTAAGTCAGATTCTCTGGGGGCAGGGCGGGAGTCCTTTCCAAAGGACCACACGTTAAGAGTTCCTCCACTTTGTTTCTATTTTTGCAGTCTCTCCTGAGAGATTATTTGCTTACAAGTCTCTCACACTATTAAATGCGAGCGTGTAAAGGGCAGGGATTGTATTTTACTGAAGTTAGCACCACCCCGCTGCGCACCCCAGTGCCTATGAGAGCACTCAACGGGTAGGACTTTCCAGTTCGGGCATTTGCATCGTGGCTCAAGTGGATAGTCCACTTGAGGGGTGGGACGAGGCCACCCAGACGTCTGAGAAGGCAGGGGAAACCATGGGAAACCGTGGATGTGTAGGGAGGGGGTAGGGTAGGAGAGTGGAGCAGGAGGAGAAGGTATGGGAGAGGGGGCTGTTTGTCAACCCCTGATTTTCCACAGCTAATTTTCCACTTTGGGGATTATCCTTTTAATCCCCAGTCGGCTTCTCCTGTCACTCGGCAGAACTCATACTGTGTCCCTATATGGTCCAGCTGTCTGGACTGAGAGAATGTAAACTTATTTTATTATCCTCAGGAAAAAAAAGAAAACCTCACACACACAGTTAAGAACCCATGTTGCTTTATTTTAGAAAGTATATGCTTGAAAGAAACCAGTCTTAAAAGGATACATACTGTATAATTTCAAATATACGGCATTCTGGAAAAGGCAAAACCATGAAGACAGTAAAAAAGATCTGCGGTTGCCAGGGTTTAGCGGGGAGAGAGGGATGAAGAGGCGGAGCATGGAGGATTTTTAGGGCAGTGAAACTGCTCTCTATGATACTATGCATGTCATTAGACGTTAGTTAAAAACCCCAGAATGTACAACACCAAGAATGACCCTAAGGTAAATATGAACTTTGGGTGATAATGATGTATTAATGCAGGTTCATCAATTGTAACAATTGTACCACTCTGATGGGGGCTGTCAATCACGGAAGAGGCTGTGCAATGGGTGTGTAGGGGCAGGAGGTATATGGGAAATCTCTGTCCCTTCCACTCAATTTTGCTGTGAACCTAAAACTGCTTTTAAAAAATACCCTATTTTTAAAGAAAGTATGTAACAAAGCCAAACATAAGTATATTTTAAATCGGTAGCCTTTACGCTTTTTATTTTTTTCACAGCACATCTTCATAGAATCCTAAGGTGTAAGGGAGCATGTTTTCATCAAGCAGTTTGTTTTAAAGAAATACTTTGTCTAAAGCACTTCTGAAACACTTTGGGGCAGCTCTAGGGTTTCCCAGCTCATATGAAGGCCTCTTAAGTTTCACTGGTGTTTTGGATTGTCCGTACCACTACTCTAGCTCTTCGTATGAATGAGTAGTTCAGAGCTAACTTGGCTCTTTCACAAAGCACAAGGAATAGTTTTATTTTCAGGCGTCTGCAGCTTCTGTTCTTTGCATTCTAAGAGAAAAGTGCTATTTGTTTTCCATGCTTTCCTTCCCACTATCAAAAAGCACCCAAGAGATGTGGTATCTAGTACTTCATGATCCACACTCCTCTTTCTATGCTTTTGTTATAAAACAGACAGTCAGGAGTTAAGTAAGATTTCTTATCTTATACCTTATCTTATCTTACTACCTTAAGGTAGTAATATTTTTTCAGAGGCTTTTTATAGCGGATGACAAAGCCTAGGGTCAGGCATTTCTGCTGGCCGAGAGAGAGTATGAGACTCTCTCAGCTTTGATAAAAACAGCTGAGATCTCACCAGAGATGATACACAAACTCTGAATGTTTGAGGAATGAGAACTAGTTAGTGTAATGTGGTGGGTGCAGGGTGAGGGACAGTCAGCTCAACTAGACCCTATGGATAGAGAGTAGAAGAGGGCTGGAGCTCCAAAAACAAAAAACATCAAAAGCCCCGGTTCTAAAAAAAAAGGTGTACTAGTCAGCTTGTCCTGGGATAATACTGTGTAACAAACAACTCTAAAACTTAGTAGCTTCCAGCAACAAATGAGTCTGGATTGGCTGGGCTTGGCTCCAGCCTGCAGGCTGAGCATGTGGTAGGTTCTCATGTCTTCTCATTCTGGGACCCAGGCTGAAAAGACATGACTCAGGATATATGGTTCTCAAGGAGAGTTGGAGCTCCAGAGGAGTGGAAACACCTGATGCCTCTTAAAACCTCTGCTTAAGACTAGCACATTCTCACTTCTGCTCACATTCCACTGAAGAACACAAATCCTATGGCAAAGTCTAAAGTCAACAGGATGGAGAGAAGAGCAGGGAAGGAAGGGAGAATTCTGAACAAATATTACGGTCTACCACAAGAAAAAAATGATGGTGGGTGTACAAAAACAACAGATCTTTCAGGTCCCTCATAATTCAACATCCCATAATGTATAACAGAATGGGATGCTAGTATGAAAAGAAAAAGAAATTACAGATGGATGAGAAAGCATAGTTAGATAAAGCAGGAGAAGAAAATGAGTTTTAGAATAAACCAAATATCCTAGAACAGAACAGAATGAATAATATTTGAAACTTATGAATGGATGATTTTTTTCATAGAAACTCAAAAGTGGTTTGCCATCACTACATTGAAGACTGCTTCAATCTTGGGGGGTAGGGGTAGGGATTGGGAATAGACAGCCAAGGCCTGCTGGCAAGACCATTTGGGACCAGGAATTTATGGATCGAGCCCCATACCTAACTTGTCCTAGCTTTGGGACCTTGACTAAGTCACTCACCCTTTCTGAGCCTGAACGAGCATCGCTTTTTACATATTTTTACAGTGAATGTCCATTTTACATTAACATGTATTACGGACTAGGATTTTAAGATATCCGTGATTTTCATTGCAAGGAGTATTTCAAAAGAATTTTATAGACTTGCAGGCGGACCCCCGTTGGAGTCTGTATTCTCCCTTAGATCTTGTTAGAGGTATTTCGGTGGAGGCATTGGAGAAGCATCGATCTGGACCATCTTTTTTACTATCAGGCCACTCATGGCCAGAGTTTGACAAACCACAGCTGGCAGGGTCCACTGGCTGATTCTGTATGACTTTTGAGTAAGGAAGAATTTGCTTTTGTTTTTTCCTTTTTATTTTTAATTGTGGTAAAAAAAAAAAATCTTAACCATTTTAAAGTGTACAGTTCAGTAGCGTTAAGTATACTAGAATTGTTGATACCCATCTTAGAACCGTTTCGTCTTGTAAAACTGAAACTCTGTTCCCATTAAACACAAGTTTCCCCCACCCCCTTCCCCTCTCCCCAGCCCCTGGCAACTTTGTTTCCATGAATTTGACTAGATACCTTATATAAATGGAATTGTACCCTATTTATCTTTTTGTAATTGACTTATTTCACTTAGCATACTGTCTTTAAGGTTCATCCGTGTTGTATCATCCGACAGGATTTCCTTCCTTTTTAAGGCTGAATAGCAATGCATTGTATGTGCATACCACATCTTATTTATTCATTCATCTGTTGATGGACATTTGAGTTGTCTCTACCTCTTGGCTATTGTGAATAATAAGCCGCTACATTTTTTAATGGTTGAAAACCACCAAAAGAAGAATAATATTTTGTAACGTGTGAAAATTATGTGCAATTCAAATTTCGGTGTCCATGAGTAAAGTTTTATTGGAACATAGCCACACTCATTTATTTACATGTTGTCTAACACTGCTTTTGCATGATGACAGCATGCTCGAACAGTTGTGACAGAGACCATATGGTCTATAAAGCTGAAAAAATTTACTTCTGGCTCTTTGCAGAAAAAGTTTGTCAACTGCTGGCATAGGCAATTGAGATTCTGCACTGTTTTTTGGTTTGGATTTTTGACTACATTTTCTTCTTTGTTCCAGAGAAGGCCCTT